ATGAGTTATATACCACACGTGGTATATGACCTTCAAGAGTTTTGATTGGTCGAGAAGATGAACTTTGACCGGGAAGACTTTTTCCACCTGCTTTTTGCCACCTGCTGTTTTGTTTACGTCGTCGGCTGTCAACATCCGACAAATGTTGGTGACNCTACAGACGCTCGATATCGTTTCGACGTCACACCGTCGCGTGTCCAGGTCGTGAAACCAAAACAAGATCTGTCACAGTGTCGGGAAATATTTCGTTCTCCCTACGTCCCGTTATCGCTATTTAGACGGTCTGACTATGGCTGAACTTTCACTATAAACGTCAACCATAGAACCGTCACGAAGAACCGTAGGCCTAGACACGTAGGCCTATGGTTTTGGATATTGACAGCGATAAGTTCGTCTACAACGGTTCATCACTTGGCGGGAGGCAGACTTCGTACGATATGCTTACGCGCATATAGTCCGTGGTTAATTTATATAAATTAATGCAATACTGCTACTCTCAATATTTAAAGTCGTTCATCTATTTTATTTTTTCACGAAGTTGTTGCCGAAACATTACTTTTGACAATAATTAAATTTGTAATAAAAGAAGTCATTTTTGAATATTAATGAGTGACTTTTTACATATGGGTCATATCACTACGCCAGCCTTGTCAACAAACACATGTGTGTATGTTATTTCTGACTGATCATGATATTGTGGTAGAAACACACGACTCGTGGTTGTTGAGTATGGTATTTATTTTACTCTCGTTAGTTAATTTTCAAAAGTTACAGAAAGACACTCGCTAAAGCTCGTAATTTTTGTAACTTTTGAAAATTAACTAACTCGAGTGAAATAAATACCATACTCAACAACCACTCGTTGTGTAGCCTCTATATCGCAATCATCATCGAAAGACTTCTGCACTTCTTTTCAATTTCTATTCGCTTTTGTAAATACCACATAGCAACATGCTTACTGACTATATAAAGTTTCTAGTTTAATACTCTTCCATAATGTTCAAATACCGATATTAAACAAAACCATCTGTTTAAGTTCTTGATTTTAATACACGCGTAAAACATGCACACAGCCTATTTTTAGACACCTGATCGTCTGCCAGTAGTAAGGTCTCAGCAATAAGAAGCCTCGCGCTGTACAGATGTTTTCTGTTGTTTTAATTGGTACAGCGTACTTAGTGACCCGCCGGGTATATGTGTTTTTGAGTAGTCTATTATTCCCGCTGTATTTTGACGTCTTTGTGTGAGTACGTTTCTCTGGTAAATCTCTCTCCACTTTGAAGCCACAGTCCGGCGTATGTCTTGTATCGGTAATGATGATCACAGGGACCTGATAATTTGTTATAGCTAAACTTGAACCCAAACTAAGTTGTTCAGAGTTATTCTACACGTTTCAAAGGGGTTTAAAACAACTTTCGGTAAAATGCCCTCCCAATGACGCTCGTATAACATCGTCATTGGGGGTGGCATTTACCGAAGGTTGATCTAAACCCCGAAAACGTGTAAAATTACTATGAACATCTTAGTTTAGGTCTAAATATAGCTGTAACAAATTCGCAGGACCCTGTGATCATCATCACCAATACAAGACGGTACACCAGACTGAGCCAGTGGTGGCTTAGGTCAATCGTCATTATCGTTTCGTCTCGTCGTCGTTGTCAGTCTTCAGGAACACAGGTGCCGTCAATGTATTTTGTCCATATTTACTCTATTTTTCATAAATGTTTACTAGGGGCGTCACGATATGCCTGGAGTGTATCGGGATATATTGCAATGCAGAAGGAATATATTGCGATACGTATCCCGATATGTTTTTATAGGAAAAAATGGTGCCCAATTAAAAAAAAAATAGTTTTCAGAAAGTTATCAAACTGAATCTTTATCATATGGATCACACGTATTTAATGTATTCGTTTAGCCAACCATCGATCAATACATTGCCACTGATTTCCACCGCTACTAATGGTCTGTTAGGGGTTACTGGCCTATCTGTTAAAATGGCTAGTAATTTTCCAAGTCAAAACACTTAGCAAATACATAAAGAAAGGTTTTTGAAAAATGTTGTGATACGGCGATATTTCATATCTGTAATGCGATACAATACGACATACCTGTGTATTGCGTTATACAGGTTTTCCGATATCCGATCTAGTGACATCCCTAATTTTTACCTTTATCTCGTAAATATTTCTTGTGGCAAATTAATATTTCGCCATTGACCAAAATGTACAGTTTATAAAAATATCTGAGTATTTATCTGGTAATAATATTTCGATAGTTTTCCGTGAGATTATTTGTGAGATACGATATCCTATTTTCATACTTTCAAAAGCATTTTTCGGTATAGTGACGAACAAAATGGCAAAATTAATTTCATCTGAATAACTAGAAAAATCTTCGAAATAAAAAATAAAAAAAATGTTTGAAACATTTGGAAATATATATTCAGCAACTTTCTTTTCTACATATGAGATTTTGTTTCAGTGTTGTTTTTATTGACTTGAGGAAAGTTGAATAAGAAAAGTTAAAAATGCATTAAATATATAAATTATATGGGCAAATTGCGAATAATTTAGCGGCGGCACTGTAACCTAGCACTAAATGAACTTTCATCCACTATCCCGACCTATGACTAGGTCCCAACTTATGTGCAAATATTTCTGGAGTTATGTACTAATTAGTCTGTTCTGTGATAGGTAAACTATGTAGTTATCATTTGGGTTGTTATAGAGAGGCTGGTATCACTGGCCATGTCTACCAGGGTCAAATGTCACCTATAGTATAGAAAAAAAACGTTCACTATGTATTCGCCCTTTACATTAACCATGCCACATCGTTATACAAAATGTAGATACATCGTAGTGCGCCCACGGCAATGATAAGAAATGAAACACCCTCCTTGCTGAGCTGTTTGTTGGAAATGACCTGACGAGCGAAACACATTTTGTTCGCGAGATTCATATTTTCGTAGGATGTAGTAATCAATCGCTAATATTATATCTATTATAAAGTTATAAATTTAAAATTGATTTATTTTACAATAATTATGAAACAAGATTTTACAACTTAATCGCTCTTGTTGGCCCGGATGGAAACACACCGGGGGTCTTGTTGTGGGAGGAAACCGGAGTGCCCAGAGATAGCCCACGTGGTCGGGCAGGTGACCCAATACCTTCCCAAGTCCTATCGGGGAATCGAACCCTGACCGCCTTGGTGAAAGGCAAGTGCGCTATCCACTGCGCCACCCGACCACCTAAATTTTAAATTATAATATGTCTGTAGCTGAAAATGTCGGGAATGAAAACATTTACATGAGAGGGGTTTTATAACAAATGGATGATAACTGACATGATAGGTGCGCAAGCGCTGCATTTCTCGTTAAAGGTGAGAAAGTAACTACTACAGGTAAAATAAGGGCATATTACAAATTACCCTAAATCTCATTATCGAATTCTTTATAGAAATATTGCTGACGGTTTGATAAAACTCAATTTTGTAAGTTTCATTGAAATGATTTATATCGTAACATTTACTTTCTTTGTAAAAGTCTTACAAAAGATTGTCTATGTTTCAGGTGAACTGAACTCTATGTCAATAATAGTATAGAAATGTCGATGATCTAAAATAGCTACGGATTTTCATCTAGTAAATGAACAAACCGATTTGTAAAACATGTCGGAGTTGTGTCGCATATAGAATTGCTTATGATAGAACGGCGGAAGTATGTGTGTGTCCCCGGGGGGTAGAGGGAGGACGTATGGGGGGAAGAGGGCGGGGGAGGGGACGTGTGGGAATGAGAAAGAGGACGTGGAGGAGGAGGACGTTTCGAGGAAGAAGAATGTATCGGGGGAGTGGGGGAGAGAACGTGTGTGGAAGGAGGACGTGGGGAAATGAGGAAGAGGACGTGGAGGGAGATAGAGTATGGGAAAAGAAGAGGACGTGGGGGGGGGGACGTGTGGGAATGATAAAGAGGACGTGGAGGAGGAGGACGTGTCGTGGGAGGAGGACGTATCGGGAGAGGAGGACGTGGGGGAGGAAGTGTGGGAGTGGGAGAGATGACGTAAGGTCAGGATAACGTGGGGGGAGGGGGAGAAGTGGGAGAGGTCGTGTGAGAGAGGGGCTTGTGTTTATGTGTTTATGACACAGTGATTCTGTGTTCCCTGTTTTAAAGTAAATAAAAATCTTTTACAAGGTTTTTCACAAAATTAATATACCTAACGATACATCTCTTATTATTACCTCCACTACATCCTTTATCGTGTAGGGAGGTATATGTGAAGGCTAAACGAATATGACCCATACACTTCTATATTGTTAGTCTCATTTAGCCCAAACCAGTCTATTAGTATATAAATGTGCGTGTATTTCACCCATTCATTTGATAATTTCACGATTGTGTTGGACACGAAATTCAAAGATTCTGCCTCATCTCCTTGCTTGTTATCAGGACAAAATGTGAAAGGTAGAGTAATATCCTTAGAGACCACAGGAAGAGGATACTATGTCCCCTTCCACGCACACAAGAGGAGCGCGGGAGTGTGTGTGTGTGTGTGGGGGG